ACACAAGTTACAGTGTACAACTGTAAAGTGTCTTTCATTTAAACTCGTGTTGGCCCAATCCTCCGGAATCCTATTTTGTAACATGAAACCGGTTTTAGACCCCGGAGCTCGTTATTTTCCCCATCCACTGCTACCCACACTCTCCTGACTAATGTGAATCGAGCTTCTGGCTTAGGGTGGGTTTGACGCTTCTCTCTCTCTGAATAAATCCCTAGTAGAGCAAAATTCAAAAATCACCGGAGGTCCACTAGCCAGTTGGATTAGTCCAACTCTCATCTCATCTCTTCCCCATTAACCTCTCAATTGTCAACGAGGTAAAATCTCATCGCCTCGAATTCCTGTACAGAGGCAAACCCAACCTTCCGATGAGTAGATCTGTTTCATTAAACGGGTGCTCATCGATAATCATAAAGTGCGAAACACAACAGGTAGCCTAACCACCACTGAGTGCCCAAACTCAGAAGGAGAACCAAAAGGGCACCCATACGACAACTCGACACTCACTACCTGTGACGCAACACATGTATCAACACCCGTCATGTGTGCATCCGTCTATCTGCGACCGAGCACCCACGTGTGGAACGTCCCAAGGAGACAGTCACGCGACAACTTAGACAATCACCTAACCGTGATGCCACGAATGCCTGCACGCGGAATGTGCTAAGAAACACAATAAAACCACCTACGATCACTTTACATGCGCTGCATAAGACATCAGCGCTCGCACTATTTGGATCCGTCCGACTGTCTACCACTGAGTTTCTGCACATTCATGTATTAAAGAGACAAAATATCGACGATCACTTAACATGGGACGCAACAAAAACATCAGCGCTCGTCTGTACGTGGAAAGTACCACCAAGACACTCACATAACAATACCGACGATCACCTTACATGCGACGCAAGAACACATGTGAGCTCGCCATGTCTAGATCCGCCCGACTGCCTGCCACTGAGTGTCTGGACACTTAATGTATCAGAGAAACACTCACATGACAATACCGACGATCAATTTTCATGCGACGCAAAAAACATAAGAGCTCGCCATGTCTAGATCCGTCCGACTGTCTGCCACTGAGTGTCTGGACATGTTAGACTGCGCATACTAGACACTCACATGACAACATCGACGATTACGTACTTTACATGCGACGGAACAACACATCAGTGCTCGCCATGCTTGGATCCGTCCGACTACATGTCACTGAGTGTCCGCCCATGCAATTTGCATAAGAGACACTCACATAACAACATCGACGATCAATCTACTAGCGACGCAACAACACATCAGCGCTCGCCGTGTTAAGATCCGTCCGCCTGCTTGCCACTGAGTGTCTGCACATGCAACTTGCACAAGAGACACTCACATGACAACATCGACGATCCATTTACATGCGACGCAACAACACATCAGCGCTCGCCATATTAAGATCTGTCCGACTGCTTGCCACTGAGTGTCTGCACATGCAATTTGCATAAGAGACACTCACATGACAACATCGACGATCAATTTACATGCGACGCAACAACATATTAGCGCTCGCCATGTTTGGATCCGTCCGACTGCTTGCCACTGAGTGTCTGCACGTGGAATGTGCATAAGAGACACTCACATGACAACATCGACGATCAATTTACATGCGACGCAACAACACATCAGCGCTCGCCATGTTTGGATCCGTCCGATTGCTTGCCACTGAGTGCCTGCACGTGGAATGTGCATAAGAGACACTCACATGACAACATCGACGATCAATTTAGACCCGTCCGACTGCTTGCCATTGAGTGCCTGCACGTGGAATGTGCAAAAGAGACACTCACATGACAACATCGACGATCAATTTACATGCGACGCATCAAAAACAAGATGTGTTTCCACCTACCCTGGAAATGTTGCGCCGTAAACACTACTGGTGTTGGTCCTGCTGGAGTAGGACCTGCTGGAGTGAGAGGTTTCCCTGGTGTTGGTCCTTGCTAAAGAGTCAACTGTCGCCGTTGTCCTGGGTGCTGCACTGCTGGCGCGGGTAGTCTTGGAGTCTACGACATTCGCCCGAAACGTTGCGCTGTATAAAACCCCGCTGGTGTTGGTCCTGCTGGAGTAGGGCCTACTGGAGTGACTGGTCTCCCTGGTGTTGGTCCTTGCTGAAGATGGCTCGGGTAGTCTTGTAGCCTGCGACATCACCTTTAAAACACAAACACATACACGTCACGCAGAGATATCAACTATATTTTAACTACCCACTCGAATGTGCCAACACCATGAGGGCATCACCACTCCATGATCTAAGGGTACAAAGTACCGGAGGCTTTAGCACTCGAGTTTCCAACCCTCCTGACACACAAAGAAACGCTTATCTGCCAAAGTCACCACCCGGAACCAATTTATTTCAAATGCAAATGTACCACGTGCAACACGCTCCCGCCAAAATGACAAAACGATTTACCAAAACTCTGGAAAACTGAAAATCAAACAACGGAAACGACACCAAAACCGTTCCGCAACCCAATGGAGTGACCAAGAAACCTCCAGACTGTTGGACTCGTTAGGGATGTCACCGTAGCCCGGGCCGAAGATCACGGCTGCAAAATGTGGTAGGCCCCGTTGCTGTACCGGGTACTGAGGTTGTGGGATCTGCTGCTGCCTTCCCACATCTTGACCGCTTGGGAAACGAGGTTGTTGTGCTGCTATAACTGCAAGGGCAAACGACATTGCTTATTAACCTGCAATTTCTTAACCCCGTGAAAACCTTTCACACTACTACCACACTACCCGCCCGAGCGCGCCTCCACCGCGAGGGCAACCCGCAACACGATCTATGGGCACGAAGCCGAAGGAACACCGCTCGGGAAACCTCCCCTGCTAATTTTACAAAATGGCTAAAACCACCCTCGAAAGCTCAGAAATGAAACCCTGAAAAGAACAAAGTACTAATAATCAATTCTGGCTCAAACAGACACCCACGCATTCAAATGCAAATGACCCAGGTGCTAGACTGCCGCCAACATTCTTACAGACAACCCACACAAAAACTGTCGGAAAAGAAAAGCAAACCACGTCCTGTACTTCACACTACCCAAACCTTCTCTTTCAGGAACTCAGGAACAGGCCTCTGCTTCTCTAACGTCAGCGACCAAAACCAGTCCGCCTGTACCGGGTAGGAGGTGTTTCCGAGGTGCGTACGGTGGTCCTGCTGAAGTTACAGCTGTCGCCATTGTCCTGGATTCTACACAGCTGGTGCGGGAAGTCTACGAATCTGCGACGTTATCTTAAAAACAGAAACACGTACACGTCAAACAGACACCACATATCTCTTTTTCTACCCACTTAAAAATTCAAGAGTGTAGCAAAGAAAAAACAACATTCATCTGCCAAGCTCACTACCCAAAACCAGTTAGTAACAAAATATACAATACCACGTGCAACGCATTCCCTCCAAAAACGAAATGTTACCAACTCGGGAAAACAAAGAAAAACCCGTGGACACAAAACGACAGCAAAAACCGTTCTGCACGCCTCCAAACCGAAGGAGTCGTCGTGGAAGCCTCCAAACTGCTGGACTCGCCAGGAAGACACCAACACCCAAACCGAAGACCAGTGCTGTAGAACGTGGGAGGGCTGGGAGGGCACGCCCGGCACTAGCACGTCGCTCCAAGCTGGCGTAGCGGAGGCTTCCAATGATCGCAATGGTGATTAGCCTGGCTGGCATTCATATTTAAAGGGGTAATGACGTCATGCAGGATTTAACCAATCACAGCGCAGTGTAAATAGGCACGGTATTGTGCCCATTTTGACCAAGGTGTGGCAGTTTCAGTTTCAGTTTATTTATTTAACCAGAAGATATACTTAGGTCATTTGACCGGCATATTGACCACTGTCAAAGGACAACAAAATCAAGGAAAAATCATCATCATTCCTCCTCACGTATAATATAGAGGTGCCGCAGACGAAGTTGGAGTACCAATCTGTCGTACATTGCTGAAAGGAGTCATTGCCTACTAAACCAGACTCAGTTTCTATTAATTTCTTGAGTGTCATATACGGGCGACCGATCCTTCTTTTCGACTCTGGTGACCACAGCAGAGAAAACAGAATAAAAAAATAATTTACTTGCTGTAGCCTCAAGAGGCCTGCCTACTGCCTACCTGCCTATGTGCTCAGGCCAGATGCTGGCCCCTTGCTTCCCTCTGTCAGGTTCCTCCAGCCAGCTCTATCAAGGGCAATAGTCTCTGCTTCTGTGGCCTAAGAGGTTAAAAAGAATAATTCTATAATGTGCGTGCAGCAGTGTACATCTGAAAATCAGTGGAGTGTTTTGAATTTTTGGGCCTGGCTCACCAGTAATGTACTGATCCTATCGTGATGTTGACTTTTTCTAAAGCTGCTAACACAGCTGAACTTTCATTTTAATATTAATGTATCTTGTCTCTGTTCAGCATGTCCAACAAAGCCAGGAGGATGCTGGTTCTTCTGCTGATCATCCTGAAGGAAGCTGGCCCGACCGCAGCCCACGACTGCAGCTGTTTTTCAGACTGTATCTGCAGAGACAGACTCCTCACCAGTGTTCCTCAGGACCTGCCTACAAACATCACTTTTCTTGACTTGTATTACAATGCCATCACGACCTTAGGTCAGTCTGATTTCTCAAGGTATAGGAGCTTGACAAGATTAGATCTTGGTTCCAATCAGATCTCCATGATCCATAACAAAACATTCCACAGCTTAACCAGCCTGATTGAACTGCTCCTTTATAACAATCGTTTAACCACTCTGCCAGCTGACATATTTGAGGGACTTGGTAATCTGCAGAGATTGGATCTTGACAATAACCAGTTAACAAGTCTGACAGCTGGCATATTTGAGGGACTTGGAAATCTACAGTGGTTGTATCTCGACAATAACGAGTTAACAAGTCTGCCAGCTGACATATTTGAGGGACTTGGAAATCTGCGGCACTTGTATCTTCACAATAACCAGTTAAGTCTGCCAGCTGACATATTTGTGGGACTTGGTAATCTACAGAGCTTGTATCTTTACAATAACCAGTTAACAAGTCTGCCAGCTGACATATTTGTGGGACTTGGTAATCTACAGAGCTTGTATATTTTCAATAACCAGTTAACAAGTTTGTCAGCTGACATATTTGTGGGACTTGGTAATCTGCAGTGGTTGGATCTTCACAATAACCAGTTAACAAGTCTGCCAGCTGGCATATTTGTGGGACTTGGTAATCTGCAGTGGTTGTATCTTCACAATAACTGTGAGTTAACAAGTCTGCCAGCTGACATATTTGTGGGACTTGGTAATCTGCAGCGCTTGTATCTTTACAATAACCAGTTAACAAGTTTGTCAGCTGACATATTTGTGGGACTTGGTAATGTAAAGGAGCTTGGCCTTGACAGGAATAACATCCACAGTATTGAGGCAGGCACATTCAATGGCACAACACAGCTACGTAGTCTAGATCTTGAGTACAACAACATCAGGACCATCACAGCTGACACATTTGGGAATCTACTTCAGCTTCAAACACTGAAACTTTCTCACAATAACATCAACACTTTCCCTGTGGAGGCCTTATCAAATTTACAGATTTCAGCACTGTCAGAGCTTACATTACATAATAACCAATTGGAGACCCTACCAGTCATGGCATATGACATACTGGCTTCTATCTCAACTGTTACCATTTTCAACAACCCCTGGCAGTGTGACTGTAGGATGGTTCCCTTTAGGCAGAGGATGAACGGGTCTTACCCATTTGAAGACCAGATCAGATGTGCCGGACCTGCTAATCTTAGATGGCAACTCTTGCGGGATGTAAATCCTGACAACCTGATCTGTGAGGAGAAAACACCAGTCTACTCCACTTCTAGCACTGAAAGCAATATAGGCCCTGCTGATGGTGGCATTGTCCTGTCTGTGCCCTTCCTTGCTACCTTGGGGGCTGTTCTTGGACTCCTCCTTATCTACACTATTGCCTTTGCAGTAGGGTGCATGTATAAGAGGAGGCAAAGGGATCCTACTCCCCAGCAAGGCTTTAGTAACACAAACCCCACAGGCACAGCCAGTGGTCATGACCAGATAATGTTGCAGGCAGTTGGCACAAAGTGCAGGAATAATCAGTCAGTCTGAAACATCCCATCCTGATTCAGAAGAAAGTCAGCTTATATATCAAACCTCTCAACAGATGAGGACCCTGATACAGCAGAGTATGACACCATAGATGAAGTCAATCAGTCAGAAATTCCACACCAAGATGCAGGCAACACGCAGAGTCTTGACAGCTTTGGTTATTTGATTCTGCCCCCTTCGCTTCCCCCTAGAAATCAGACTGCTGCCCAGATTGAACCAGATGCAGCTGCTCGAGCAATGGTTAGTCCATCGCAAACATCACAGCCAGGCTCAGGGCAAATTCAGCATCTCGGCAGCTTTAACGATGGTTATGAGGTTCCATCTCCCTCCCTGTACCCTGGAGAA